TATTAACTGAACTTGAGTAAGCTGCTTTGCTTCTTTGAGCCTTAGTTTTCTTATATAAGTTGAGAAAAACAATTGCTTTCTGGGTAGGAATCTTTTTTTTTTTTTTTTTTTCTGGGTAGGAATCTTAAAGAGAATTAGAAGTAAGGCAGTATTATATAAACTGGCACATAATAGCTTCATAGTATAATTCATGTTTTTAACATTTTTTTTTTCCCTTGGATAAGTTAGAAAGGGAAACAGAATCAGAATCATGGTTAACAAAACCAGAAGGGTGTCTTGGGGAAGATATTTTGGGAAGATCTTAGAGGAGGCTTGTAAAGCTTAGAATTTGTGGAAATGATCAATGAATAGATTCTCCTGTCCTGTTTTTTCCTATTTAATTTTAAATTAATTTTTACTTATCCATGTCGTTTAAATTTAAAAGGCCACATTTTGCATATTCTGGGACAACTACTTTTTACTCCTTTAGCTAGTTAGTTACATTGGCATTTATGCATCTCTGTATTCTTAACTGTCCTTTCTATTTGTTTTTCCTGAAGTTAATTACCTTGATTTTCATATGTACTTTTCTTAGTTTAGTTTTTCAAAATCAAATTACCTCAGTAATAATATCAATTATAATTATTTTCTTTGAGATATTCTCTCCTAGAGTCCCTCATTCTCCTTTTTCTGGGTGATTGCTCTCTTGGGGTGCTTCAACTAGTTGTCATCCTGTGACTTAAATTTTTTTGGGATCCTTGGAATTTCTCCTGGATTGGATTTCGTATTTACTGGATCTCATTTCTTTCTTGGCTTATTCCCACTGTTTTGGTAAAGCATAACCTCCAATGTTTTTGCCATGATCCAGATTGTCTATCTGTCTGACGTTTAGTTACCACTCTAGAGTCTCCATTTACTCTCATCCTGGAAATTCCCTTCTCTTTCTTGTGGACCTCCTACTTTTTCTCTCCCAGTGTCTTTCTCTTCTTGGTTTACTCTGCATTTTTGTGGAGGACATTCTCAGTAGTTTCCTGAGATAGGCTTAATAAGAAGTAAACTTTTGGATACTTTATATGTCTGAAAGTACCTCTGTTCTGTCCTCTACTTGGATAACAATGTATCTCAATATTGAATTTTAAGATGGAAATTATTTTTCTTCAGCATTTTGAAAGAATTTGTCTCATGCTTTTTTTGCTTCTGGGTTGCTTATAGGAAAATATGTATCTATTTTGATAGATCTCTAAGTATGTGACTTGTTTGTTTTCTTTCTGAAAGCTTATAGGATATTATTTTAGCACCTATTCTTCTGACATTTTCCACGATATCCTTGATGTGGCTCAATTTTTCTTTTGTGTTTCAGACATTCAGGAGGGCTCTTTTCATTCTGGAAGCGTGTGTTCTTTTCTTTGAGAATATTGTTTTGAAATATTTCATTGATTTTCCTCCCCTCCATATTTGCATTCTCTCTGTGTAATTGCTATTTGTATGTTCAACCTCCTGGACTGGTTCTCCAATTATTACCTTAACTCTGTTTTCCATCACTTTTTTCTTTTTACTCTTATTTTCTGGATGATTTCCTCAGCTTTATCTTCTCACCCTTGTATTGATTTTATGTTCCTGCCATCATGTTTTTAATTTCAAGCTCCTTGTTATTCTCTTAATGTTTCTTTTCAAATAGCAACTGCTCTTGTTTTGTGGATGTGCTATAATAATCTCAGAACTCTTTGAGGATATTAACGGTATTTTCCCTAAGTTTTCTTCTTTCTGAAGAGTTTTGTTTTTCTTCAGGTTGCTTTCTAAATGTTTGTGTTTGTTACTCTCTGTTTTCTTTCTGATAGTCCTTAGTTGCCTGTTCATGATTTAGAACAAGTAATCCCAAAGAGGCAGTTGAAGTTCTGAGCCATGTGGATGTTGTCTGTTTGACATTTGCTTTGTATAGCATTCTCTCCATGGGTTATTTATTAGCAACTGGCCAGATTTTCTCTAGAGTATTCCTGATTTCCTTCCTGAAGGAAAAGGTCTGCCTCCCAGCATTTTGGGGAGCCCAGTGTGAGAAGAGGGTTGGGACTCATTCTTGGGAGCTGAGGGTTATAACTTAATGCTCTGTTTCTGGTACTGTACCTATGCCTTCATCTAGTAAGTAAGCCCATTAGCTCTCCAGAGGTTAAAATTTCAGTCTTCCACTTAGCTGGTGTGGAATGGGAAGGGAATTCAGAGATCTGATTGTTTCTCATCAAAAGGTTCACCTAAGTTCTCTTTATTCTGATCCTTCCATTCCTACCCTCACTTTGTAAAGTATCCAGTAAATGCTAGTTCCTGGGGGTTTTGCTGGTTGGTTGGTAGTTTTTTTGAAGATTCTGAAGTGTAAACTGGGTTGGTTGCACCTTGACAATTGTAGTCTTAGGAGTCAGCTTTCTTGGGTTTGCCAAGACAATTTCTACTAGTCCATCTTACTTCCACACTGTTGCTATTGATTCTTTGGATCTTGTCCTTGTGGATTATATCTTTAAAACAACAGATCACATTTCTGTATTTTATTGAGTTTCGCAGTTGAGCAAGACTAGTTGTTTATGTTCAAACTGCCACCTTATGTGGGCCCTCATCTCCTCCCCCTGCCTTTTTTTATTACTATGTATTTCTTTAGCAAAGGTAGGCAGAGAAAGTAAAGAGTCATTCTGTTGTCTTCAGAACAGTTTTCTTTCTTGAGCTGCCATTAGGACAAACATAGAAAATGCCTGTTTTTAAAATATATTAACCCATACTAGTTTGTGCTAATTTTTCTATGGTCTGTTTTTTTTTTTTTCCTTCATAGTGTTGCTTCACAGTATAAAATCTCACTCTAATGTGAGAGCTTGGTTGATGGCAGTTTATAAAACATCCAGTGAGGTTTCTAACATTGGATTTCCCAATTCTAAAATCTTTGAGTTTATTGTTACTGTTCTCTTTGTCTGAAATACATGTTTACCCAGTGTTTTTTTCAAGACAAGCATGCAGGACAGTTGGTCTCAACATTTTAGTTAATGAATCCTTCCCTTTGGTCCATTGTGGTTCTTTTCTTTCTTTCTGAACTACCCCTTTCAAGCTTTGTCCTTGTCCTACCCTTTTTCTGTCCCTCCTTTATTCGGGTACTAACAATTTTTATGGTGCTGCCTAGTAGAGGAGTAACTCAGTCCCAAAGAAGTAGGCTGTCAGGATGAGTTCTCATGTAGAAACAGTCTGTGTTGACCTCAGTCATGTGGGATCTGCCTTTACGTGGTTGGTGATATGTTGAAAGCGTGTTGGATACAGTTGTCTGAACAGGGAAGTTTACCATTGAGATTGTGCATATTCATATGTAAACACAAACATTAATGTCTGGGTAAGTCTTTACCTGTCAGTAACTTGCACATGGCTATACCAGGAAGCATGCACTTTTTAGGTTTTACTGGAAAACTTGAAATGATTAATTTGGCAGGAGAGGTGCTTTAATTGTTGCAGCTAAGTGGATTCCTCAAGGGAACAGCTCTTTCTCCTACTTAAGATGAGGAGATTGGCAAAGAAAACTTGAGTTGAATCAAAGAAAATAGCCTTTTATCCAGTTAGGTAACTTAACAGAAACAAGAAGAGTTTTAGGAAGGTAGGTTTGATATTGTAGAAATGAGAGATGGGAGGGTGTAAGCCTGATTACTCCCCTCTCGCTGTAGTATGAGAGGCTTTACAACTAACTGTTTTACTGTTGGTTTTTGACACAGATTTTTTTTTCCTTTCTTTATGTTAAATTACAGTACAAAGTATGCTATTTCAGTCAATTCTGAAATCTTTACTCACATATATATACTCTACAGTCTTTATATTATATTTTGGTACAGGCTTTGCTTGATTCTTTGATCCCAAGAAGATGGGAGTAATCCAATAGGATATTTTTTATTTTGTAATGGCATCCTTTTTTTCCTAAATGGAATGACTGTTTCAGGGCTATGTTTTTTAAAGTAAAAGATAGCTTCAGCAGAATTAGATAAGTAATCTCTTGTAACCTAGAAAATGTCTTTAATATCTCTTCTCTTAAAAGCTGTTCTTTTTGTGGTTAATAGATCCCATAAAGATAACACTATTTTCTAGCCAAATATCATGGGTTCTTGCATAACTAGGGAAATTTTTCCAACGTGGTGTTCTATGAATGGTATAAACAGAAAGGCATAGACTGTTAGTTCCAGGAAGACAGGGATTTTGTTTTGTTCGTTAGTATATTTCTAACACTAAGAACAGTGCTTGACACACAGTTCTCAGTAAATATTTGTGGAATGAAGGAAGGAAATCCCAGAGTTTGGAAGTTCTGCATATATTGTAATACTTAATTAATACCACAAGGTGGTACTGTTGTACCATGAAATGAATGGCTGTAACTTTTAGGCGGTTATATATAGTTTTATGTAAATCCTATAAATAAGCAAAATGAATTGACTACCTATTGTGTTTATTGCCTGCTTCAGTTATTTATAGTTTTAGCATGTGATTAGTCTTTTGATTCCATGATAAGGTCAGGCAGTGAGATCATAACCTAAATAAAGAACATTTGGTTCACATTTTTATCAAATGTTAAATAGAGATAGCATCTATAAAAACCTAACACAGTACCAAGTTAGTCCCCTTTTCTCTCTTTTATTTTATGTTAAAAGCCTTTGCTCAATTTCTATTTGTTTTAAAATAATTTGCCAGCATTTTTCTAATCACTAAGCATTAAATAATATTTAAGTCTGTTTTGATTGCCAAATTTCAAAAATTGATAACAAACTTACATTTCACAATAATACCTCCCCCTGCCAAGGAAAAAAAAATGCCTCCATGATTCTTTTATGGGGTTAAAATAGCTTAACATATTGTTCTGTTACCTATGTGTGCATATATCATAGTATATAAATTATAATTTGTTTTCATTCCTATTGTGAAACTAAGTGTTGATAAGTTTGTTTTGTAGCTTGGGCTTTCTTATTTCCTTATGATTAAATTGCCTTTTGATATTTTGTTTCTGTAATTGTCCTCAGACTGAAGCAAAATCAGAAGAGAGCCCTGGATGGACAATCTTACGTGATGATTTCATGATGGGAGCGTCCATGAAAGACTGGGACAAAGAAAGTGATGGCGTGGATAACAGTGAACCAGGGTCTGGAAGTGACTTTGATACATAAGACCAGAGGAAACCCAATGTATGATCATTGTATTTTTCCTAGAAAAATACTTGATGCTCTCAAAGTTGGACAGTTCTGAAGCTATCACTTGTAAGAACACCAAAAGACTTTTACTATTACCAACTTTGATGTTTTCTCTTTACATGAAAACTTTGTTAAAATTAGGTTTTTCAAACCATGTATGATTTTAAGTATTGTTTCTCAAACATTTGTAAAAAAAGTATTTTTGCTTGACCAGCAAGATGCACATTTTTGCCAGGATCATTTTAAGTTTACATCTTGGTCATGGATATTGGTGTTTTCTTTCAGTGTCAGCAGTTTCTAGAAATACAGTGCTTTTTATAATTAAAATGAACTTCTTGAAATCTATATTTTTCTGCTTTCCAACTTATTAGTCCTATGTATGTGTGCTTTTGTGAAAGGAATTTTTGGTATTTGTTTTGGTATGCTATTGAGAAAACTTCTGTAGTGAAATTTAAAATGATAATATTTCTGATTCAGGGTGATGATTTCGTTTTTAGAAGTTCTGGTAAATAAGATTTAAGAACATCAAGTCTCTACGTTTCTATTATGTCCCTTTATATGCTAAACCATACATAATGATTTAGATTTAAGTGTTAGATTATAAAAAAATAGCATGAGATTTACTGAGGTGGAGATTCTCATGTTTATGCCTCTCTCAGTGAGGCATAATTTCTTAGAAACCATATTTGACATGTTTTAGCCACTCACACCCCCCTTTTCCCTAATATTTAAGTTAGCTTAAGTTTTCTTTTATGGTTTGGCTGACCAGTGAAATGGTCTAGTGAGACTGCAGGTACTCTGCATCAGAATACTCCCATCTGTTTGGAGATTTGGTTCCTTGTTGTTCCCTAAAACATAATTAAGTTGGGTGACAGTATCTAGATGTTAAACAAAAAAGAAAATAAGACTGTTTAGTATAATTCCAAAATTTTCTGTGATCTTAAACTTGGTTTAAGATCTAAAGTTTATAAAAGAATTGTTTAATAAATTGATCTGTTCCTTTAAAAAAAAAGGTTCCATTCCTTTTCCCATATTCCCCATAATAAAAATAGTTCCCTTCTACTACTCATTTGCATATACTTGCATCCTCCCCTCAAACTTATGCTGGAGCAGAAATGTTTATATTTTCAAACCCATTTGAGTGTGTTACACTCTAAGTGTTACATATGCAAGGTTAAATTAGTCCATGGCCTGGTATTTGTTATAATGTGATACCAAGTGATTAAGCCAGCAAAGCTCAAAATGTATTCTTGTATTTATCCCAACTTTTGAACTTTAGTGTTTTATTAAATTATAGAACTACCATTTCATCAGTGCAATATATATAAATAATAATAATATAAATAAATGTGAGCAGATACTCCTCGAAATAATGAGAGTGCTAAGTATCATATTTTGTAACACAGATGAATATTTTATTATAACTTAACACATGCATAATTTTGAAAAAGAATTTTTTGCAGCAGTTAAAAATTTTTTTCTCCCCAGAATTAAAGATTATACTTCTTTTTTGCTATTAATCTTATTCTGAATCCTATTAAAACTTGGCTAACATTCTTCCAGATAGTACTGGGGTGATAGAAATGGGTAAATAACTTTTCATTTACTGGAATGCTTTCAAAACATATACTCACATAGTTTTTGGTTTAATTTTGAAAAATTGGGCAAGATTTTTTTAACTGAAAATAGGTGAATATATGCAGTTTTTTTCCCTCTCAGAAATCATTTTATTCCAAAATAAAGATGAGTTGCCAGTATAAGAAAAAAATTTTATCACTTATGTTAGAAGGCTATAAAGCATATTCAAAGTACATGAAATAATTTCTATTGTAAAAATGGGATATTTTATGTATATTAGTTTTGCTGCATCTTGGGATATTTTATGTATATTAGTTGTGCTGCATCTTGGCTCTACAATATGTAGGCAAAATACCATCATATATTAATATAAATCCCAGGATGAGCCTATATTTTAGGAACCAAACATATATCTTGAGATGTTTTAAATATTCTAGCTTTGTTACCTCTACCCTAAGTATTTTATCTACATTCTTCTCAAATCAGTCAAATAATTCTGCATCCATTCCATCTTCCTGCATTGTCTTTGAGTTAAGGAGGGAAAAGAAAACCACATTTCTAGATCCCCCCTAATTTGTCTAAATGTAACAATATTTGGATTTTATTTTGTTAACTATTTAGAGTAATATAGCAATAAAAAGGTTATTTTTATTTTTTTTAGAAAGACTATGGAAAATAGTAACCAGATAACTAGTAAATTAGGCATTATCATATCCCCTTATCTGGATATTTAGATGGCTGTGGTGAACGTTGTCAATATTTAGCATAGGTTAGTATTGGTTATTAATTGTTTTTAGGCATTGAATTCTCAAAGTCAAAATTAATAACCTGTTTTAGGTTGAAAACACTTAGATTCATCTTAGTAGTTTATCACTTTAGGTTGGCGTCTGCATACTGAATTTATTTTCAAGTTGCTTAGATTCTACGTAGAGCAAATATTATTCTACTCATTGAAAAGCATAAGGTGGAAGCCCTTTAGATGGAATGGATGAGAGGCTCACCTTCAGTACCCACAGCTGAAAATGACTCGGGAGGAGGTTCCAGGTTTCTTGGAGGGTTAGTCCCAAATTCTTTAAAATATTTTGTGTACTACAAGAGAGTGAAAAGGAAATGTTTATATTCCGGGAAACCTCTTAGGGCTCTTTTGATCACTGTGTTTTGCATATATGAATATGCTTAATATTCAGTGGCTTCCACCTAATCCTGCCCCCTGTGCTGGTCTTCAGGCAGTGAGAGTACAGTACTTCATTACAAAGCCATTTGATTACAGTTCATAAATGCCTAAAGATGTTCTAGTTAAACATATAACAGCAGAGGCGTCGTAAGGTTGAAGTGTGAACAGAAACACAGACAAACTGAAGATAAAAATTGCATTTTTAAGGAGTTAAAGACATAGAAGGCCTAAGGAAGTTTCGCCTGTAATGGAATTTCCAAAGAGCAGAAGTGTTTCTATAAAAGAGAAAGGAGGAGATCAAATAAATAAGGCCATATTTTTGCAAACTTTGGATAACTTTTTTCCCTTACGTTTACTTATTTTTTGTTATTTTTATCGTGAAGTTTTATAAATGTGTTGAAAAGAGTCATAAGTGAAATGGGTTGGAAGTTTTATTTTTTCAGGCTTTTTAATGACTTTAGAAGACATTTATTGTATTTAGTATGTTGCTATGTTTGTGCAACATGAATTTCACTTATAAAATAAACATTTGAGGGGCACCTGAGTGGTACAGTCAGTTGAGCCTCTGACTCTTGGTTTGGGCTCAGGTCATGATCTCAGGGTTGTGATCTCAGAGTTGTGAGACTGAGTTTCAGGAGGGCTCCACTCTCAGTGCAGCCTCCTTGGGGAGACTCTCCCTCTCCCTCTCCAATAAACAAATCTTTTAAAAAATAGTAAAGTAAACATTTGAAAAATTAGTAGACATATTTTTGGACATTTACGTTTCTTAAGCATGTGTCTATCTGTCTGCCTTAGCCATGGATGCTATAGCAGAATATCGTAGACTGGGTGGCTAAAACAACAAAGTTTCCTCAGAGTTCTATAGGATGGGAAGTCCCATGATTGAGGTGCCAGCAAATTTGATGTCTGGTGAGAGCTCTCTTTCTGATTTGCAGACAGCTGACTTCTTGCTTTGTCTTTGCTTGGTGAGAAGGGAGATCATCTTTTCTCAGTCTCTTTTATAAGAACACTAATCTCATTCGTGCGGGCTCCACCCTGGTGACCTAATTTACCTTCGAAAGGGCTCTGCTTCCAAATACCATTACATTGCAGAGTAGGGCTTTAATAAATGAATTTGGGAAGATACATATTCAATCTATAGCAGTGTGTAAAATAGCAAATCGTACGTTTTTAACTTTGTGGAATAACTTTACCATTGTTTCTTGGCTTTAATAAAATTAGAAAGTTAAGTGAAGGAAGAATTCATTCTGTTCCTTCCATAAATTCATCTCTTAGGATTAATGTACCATTTGTTTCTGTTCAGTATGTTGGTGATAGGTAGGGACTGTTAAGCCCTGCAGATATGAATATGGAGACTACTTGGGGTGAGCAAATTTCGGAAACAATAGAACTATTCCATGCCTACGAGGACGTCTCTCATTCTCTTCCCGAGGGAACAGGAGTCTGAATTTTGGCCAGCTGGATAGATGAATCTTAGTGACTGCAGCAAAGGTAGGCCTGGTGAACTTTTTCACTGGGTGAACTTTTCTGAAATTGATTAAATGAATTAATTTAGAGGACCTATGAACAGATTTGGAAGTAGGATGGTCTTTGAAGTTCATGGTAAGACATTTAGAACCATGATTGATGTTTAACAAAATACTAAGTTGTAATGAATCTAATCAGAATTCTATAAAATAGATTTCTTCTAATGCTTCTTAAATAATTTTAGATTTTCTAAAGAGTGCTTTCTAGCTTAGAGAACCACATTAACATTTTTCATCCAGCCTACTAAGCATAATTTCAGGGAGTTACAATTTAGTTCTTTTTATCCAGATATGTGATGAACCTTCTGTGCTCAGAAGAGAGATCCTCAAAGACAGTTACAGAACGTGTTTTATTTTGTCTAGAATAACTAGTCCAGCACTGCTCACCTCTTCCCTCTTTTAGTGCCCTCTCTCCAGTTGCAGGGGTACATAATGAGCTTTCTGTTAAGTGCTCTTTGTAGTGATACAAAGGAATAGAATTCTAAATTTTACTTACTTTAAATTTTAAAAGCTATGTGTGGCTAGTGGTGGTCTCTCTAACTATAAAGAGAATGCAGTTAGCATATATTTAGTCTGATAATATATCAGTAAAATTTGAAATCCTGTCTATGAGTTCTTCTGATAAACTTTTATGGATACAGTTTAAGTGTACGAATATTGGTGTAATTTTATTGATTAAATTGTTATTTTTTTCACTATTTGTCTTTTGAAGAAGATATATTAAGTTGCTTTATAATTACATTATTTCCTCAGGTAACTATTTCCTTAAATGTGAGGCCACTGTTAATAACAAACAACATTTCATTTTTTTAGTGCAGTCATCTGCAGCTTTTAGGATAAATACACCAAACTTTGAATCTTACTGATTTTCTATGAGAAAATCAAATATTACTGACTTACAAGTCTTACTGACTTATAATAGGTGAAAAAGGACATCTGGAGAACTGCCAGGTTCACAGATTTATCAGGTACCATGTAAGGTTGGAGGTTCCCTGAAGAAGCACCTTTAGTTGCAGGGCTCTAGAGTTGTCCAGCAGTTCCAGGCTGTTCTAACACACACTTGACAT